GAGTATTCCGCAGTCGGTAGCGCCCGACTGCAACGTTCTTACTTGTTTTTATTATGCCACTTATATTATTGAGTATCACAAGTCAATCTATGGCTGAATGAAAAGCGTCATTCATGAGGAGCCTGACACATTTTATGATTAACTAATGCAATTGCTCTATGACTGCCAATCAAAGCAACGTGAAAGCAAATTAGCTCAGAGTCAATAAGAGAGAAGCAGCGCAATCAAGCCATCGCATACACATCAGCTCCATTCCTCTTTGCGTCTAACACTCGCTCTATTTCGATAGGTTGGGCGGGCGCTTTACTATACGCCCACAGCACGGCCAGCAACAGATGCAGATGCACGGCAGTCTCACCAGGAGCAGTTACGGCAACAACAAGTGTCTGGCAAGGGGCGGCAGCAATCGCAATGTTAACAATGCAGAGACCGGAATGGGTATGGGCGTGGCATCACGGACAAGGTGCACCAGTGCAGGCGGAGGTGGCAGCAATATTGACTGCAGCGAGCGACCATTGATGCATCAGCGAGCCACATCCAATCGAAGTGTCCCCAGCGTCAGCTTTCGCAACGTGGCCAATGGAGGCGGCTGCGACGGCGGCGGCAGCAACAGCAACAGCAACAATAACAGCGGCAGCGGTAATCGGAATAATACGGGACGCACTAACTTCCGACTTGCTGGCAGTGGCATCTTGCGGCAATCGTCCACCCCACCGACTGCGATCTCGTCCACATCTTTCTCGACGCGTGGCAAGGCACCGACCAGCAGCTTCTGGCGGAAGCGTCCGGGCGCCGGCAGTCCCTATCTCCTGGAGAGGTGAGTGGCCCCCTCAAAACTTTCATTAGCTGCAATGTTAGCCAATCTGCATTCAAATGACGCCAAACGGCCTCAAATTGCATCTGGCTTAATTAAATTGTCAGTTGTGAAAAGTAAATTGTGTGCCAGGTCCAGCTTGGGATATTTGCAATTAGTCAACTGAGGCACAGCCTAACCATTAATTTATGAGCCCTCAATTTTCGCAGGACTTTGTGTGACAGGAACTTGCTCTAAATGGACTGAAGACTAACTTTGTTTGCAAAGGCTCGGGAGTATTAGTAAATTAAAGATAGAAATAGGTAGTCTTAGGTAGCCTCAGGTAGCCCTAGCTGGCAGTCCATGAAATTGATGTCATACTGTACTTGATTGCTCATTAAGAAAGATGGCAATCGTGGCACTTGCTCAGCCAATGACTAAACGTAACCCACAACATGACCCGTGACATTTGTACCTTTTCTTGTAAGTCTCACCTTTTGGCAAATTGTGTCGAAATCACGCTGTTGAGGAACCTCGAGCTGAGCTGGGACTCTGCAGACATTTATTATCAGTTGAGCATACAAGCTTTTAAATTTATTACATTTGTTTACACGGCTCCACACTGCCAGCAAACAACTTTTCAGACTACTTTTCTAAGAAATTTGCATAATTTACATTGTAAGTGCAAAGCGTTTTGGCTTTGCTTTGTTTTGCCTTGCCACGCTTCAGGTTCGAGTTGGATGCGAGGCTGAGACAAATAACAAAAACAAATTGAGTTTTATTTGGCTTTGCCTTCCGACTCAACACCCCTCCGCCTCTTACCAAATAGTTGCCTTTTTCCTGCGAATACATTGTCAATGCTCTGCACAGAAGGCCATTCGAACTTTGACATGAGCCAAGCAACACCTGGGTTATATACTTTCCTGATAGGTGTAAAAATTGTACTTGAAGTCGCTTACTATGAAAGCTAATCCACAAAATCTCATTGCAAGACCTTTAATAGATTTGCATATATCGAAAGTTATTCACTAAACAATTAGAAGAAATAGAGAGCAAATAAAAAGAGTATCCAGGCTTCGACGCGTCCCAGTTTGAGCAACTCATGAATTTTTTATTTCGGTTTTTTTATCGGCAACAAGTTTTGGGCAAATCGCGTCTGAAAGGATTTTCATTTGTTTACTTTCGGTACACATAAAGTAAACATGGACTTCAAATGCTTTAAAGGAGGCTCGACTCTTGGACGAAATAGCATCCAATCAACTTCTTTGGAATGCAAACTAATTTTGAAGACCTTTTCTACTGAGGGCAAGCTGTACATATTGCAGATTCTGAAATTAACTTTTTCTGCACCAATCAAAATATATATAAGAATAAGCATATATATAATATATGTATATTGTTTTCATACACAAATTTTATTACATGGTTTATGTTATATATTAACTATAAATATATTTGTTCAATAATTCTTTTCTGAGACAGATATAGATAAATATTCTCGTATTCGAAACATATGCTCAACTATTTATAGAGCTTTATAGCCATTCATGAATTTTTATTTGGTCGTTTATTATCCGCAACAAGTTTTGGGCGAACCTAATAACATCTAATCAATAATGTTTCCAGAGTATATACATATATGCTTAAAAATTTTATTTTATGATTTACGATATCTATTAACTATAAATATCTCTGTTCGATACTCTCGTATTTTCGAATGCTTTGCTCAATTTATTTATAGAGGTTTATGCTATTCCGTTAATTCAGCATAACTACTTGGAAGCAACAAAGCAATCAATTACGCATCTTTTTGCAATTAAATGCATATTCGAGTGTCACACAACATGGCGGATACATAATTTCCTTGCAAGCACTTGCAACGAGCCATAAACATAAATCACTCATGCGTCATGTGGTGCAGCACCAAAAACACAAAAACACGAAAACACGAATCTGCTTGTCGGTCGGCGGGCCACTTGCCACATTGTTGTGTGAAGGAGAAAAGGAGATGTCGCTGCCACTCCTTCTTCTTGATGCTGCTGCTGCTGCGACAACAATAAATAGCGCATAAAATGGCAAAAGAAACCGCAAAGAGGACAACCTCAGCCACAGCCACAGTCACAGTCGCAGTCACAGTCGCAGCACGAGATGACGTGTTGGTGCAAGTTCCCAAACGTCGCTGGCGACTATGTTGCCGTCGGATAGCTACAAAAGGCTCTTGCCCCCCTCCCAGCATCCACAGTGGCACTGAAATTTGCAAATGTCATTGCTATTTGCTGCAGCATTCGCTGCTGTTGTTTTTATTTCTTTTCTCCTCTTTTTTTGCATTAATGCAAAGGCGCAAAATTCGCAAAATTTTAGCATAACCAGCAGAGAAAAGCTGCAGCAAGTTGGAGCTACGCCGTGACTTAAGCACGTCCCAAAAACGAAGTATACAAAATGGGGAATATACGGCTAACAAAGTCTCTCACAAACGAATAAGACTTGTATGTCATATATCAGAGAAGATTCACGGCTGCCTAAAATATAATTAACATTGACTCTCAATTCTCTTAGCTTAAAACTTAAAATAATTAATCAAAAGATTAGTAAATACAGTAAAGAAAACAACAAGAATCATTTCTATTAAATATAGTCAAAATAAAGTCTCCGCTCAGGCGTTGCATATTTGCAGACAGCACTCAAGTCCCCTTAAAACGAAAGAGTATGGCGCGTAATGCCAGCTCAGTAAAATGTCACGTATATGCGCTTTGCAACGGATTTGTGTTGCGCAAGTTGACGAATAAATATATATGAATTCCTAATGAGGCAGGCCCGAAAAGTTACCTGGCAGCCACCCAGGTAGCACAACAAACGTGCGAAAGAAACTTTCTTATTTTCCATTTACTTGCAAATTATTAGTTGGACATTTGACGCCGCTTGGGCGCCCATTCAGACCTGCTGCTTGTCGCCGGCCAAAAATTGAAAAACTTTTTATTTTATTTGCCGTACTGCAACGGACGCAAAGTGCTTCCGAATATTTGCCAACTGCCAAACTGGCCAGAAATGTGGCTGCCTGGGGAACAAGATGGTTACACAAGCTGCACAACAAGTTGGCAATGAATTTGAGACCAACTGGAAATAGCATGCCATGGTCAACTCTTAATATTTCACATAGCTTCTACATTGTTGTTGGGAGCACTTAGCTAAAATATCATTAAACTCATCTGCATACAAGAAAGTTTCCCTTTTGGACATTTCTTGAATCTGAGCGGAAATGCATGAATCAAATCTTGCCTCTACAAGATGGAAAAGTGGGTCATCACCTTAAATTCATTTAGAATAAATCTGTAAGCCAAGCTAGCTAAACCTTTTGAGATTTGATACAGATGTGTCGAGTTGACTGTGAATATTTTAATTCTAATACCTAAGCCTATTGAATATGACAAATGAAATGGAAGATCCTCGCTAGAGCTCTAATAAGGAGTGTATCAATTTAAATTCAATTAAATCTCTTCAAATCTATATTGAACTGAAGTTATTCAAACTGAGCTGATAGTTGCTTTACGGATAGTCATGTCATAGTCATGTATTATATATAGTTCACAGGAGCTTATATATATATCATATCCCTCTACTAGATTGGTTTGCTGATGATAAAGACCTCTTCATACTTTACACACTACACTATATATAGGTATTCTCCAAAAGAACATATTTACAATAACTGAGCTATTTGTTTTTGTGTACAGGCAGAGGGCAGATCAGAAGGCTCTACTCTGCTTGCATCCATCCACATTGTTTAAATCATTGTCTTTTGTTATTCTGGCGCTATCTCTAAAAACTCTTGCAACATCTTACAGCTGCAATTGAATTTAGCTGTACACTTAAATCCCATTTAAAATAAGCGCTAAGCGACTCTTTAGATATCAATCAGCAGCCATTCTGTTCATTTCTTATATGCGATATTGAAAGCTAACGTAATTCATTTAGTTAAACTGCCGCAAGTAAATGAGTTCGCATTGAAGTCTGGCTAAAGAATCAGATGCTTGCATCAAATAAGCCCGTGAAATGCCTGGCGAGATTTTATTAAAATACAATTTTATAAACTGTTGCGCCCTGCGTTGGCGTGCAAAAGGCCAAAATCTAATATCAAACACTCGTTGCTGCAAGGCGGCGAGCAAATACTATTTAAATGCGTCAAGTGGCTTTTACTTACCAAACCCAAACCCCAAACCATTTGACAGCCATCCGAATCGACGGGCCTCGCTGCGCGGCAGCGTCTCGCAGCCACAATTGGGTTACGCGACAAATGGAAATGGAGGACACGAGCCAGGTGGCGGAGCCAACGTGACTGGCGGAGCAACAGTTGCGACAAGCAGCTGCATAAGTGCTGGAAGCGCTGGCGACGGCGGCCCAAGCAGAAAGAACTTAACCACCATTCAAACACACAGTGGAGGCGGTGGCACTGGCACTGGCAATAGCTGTGGCAACGGCAATGAGAATCAGCAGCAGGTGACGACAACGCGACGCCACAAGCTGCTCCCTTTCAAGCTGTCATTCAATCGAGTTGCCACGCCTACGCTGAACCTGAGGTGAGTGTGCGGGTTGTCCAAATAATTCAATTCCCAAAGTGGTTTCATCTCCCGCCAGATTTCTCAACAATCGCGCCAAGCGCAACAGCCTCTCGGCGAATGCGGTGGCCACGGAGCAGAAGGCCACCAAGGTCCTGGGCCTGGTCTTCTTCACCTTCGTCCTGTGCTGGTCGCCGTTCTTCATACTGAACATCATATTCGCCGCCTGCCCCGAATGCCAAGTGCCCGAGCATGTGGTCAACACCTGCCTCTGGCTGGGCTACGTTTCCTCGACGATCAACCCGATCATTTACACCATCTTCAATCGGACATTTCGAGCGGCGTTCATTCGTCTCCTCAAATGCAACTGCGAACGGTAAGCGATGAGGCGTCAAATATTGAGTAGTCTATCTATTTTCATTTGTTATGTGGCCAATGCAATTTATTGGGGTGCGATTTACTAAAAAAAAAAAACAAAAAACAAAAATACAATACAATACAATGCATTGTTCATTGTTCTAGCAATTGTGGTGCAACGTGACGTATGATTGATTTTGGCCAACAAGTTTTTACGAATGAATTGAAGCAACGTATGTGCGAAACAAAGTAGAGATTAGAGGTTGCCTCGACAGGAAATTGAGGGAAATTAAAAAAAATATATACATAAACTGTGTTTTAAGGGAAAGAGTCTCAAAAATTTAAGTAATGCAACGAAACTGCTTGTAATAAAAGCCAATTTCTATTCTCAGCTAGTGCAAGGCTTTATTATACCTACACCTGGAACTCTAATATATAAAACTTGCTACAAATCAGAAGCTGCCGACATGCATATTACTGCTGTTGAATAGCCTTTACTATATAACCTTTGTTTACTTTTTATTTAAACTTACCGGTATTTTTTACCCCTTTTCACTTCAGAAACAGCAAAGACTGTTTAGATTAACTGATAAAATGTCTCATAAGCAGAGCAGAAATTTCAGCATGTCCAGCATACGGGCGCTAATTTGACAACTTTTGCAGTTGCTTAACGAAAGAGATCGAAGTAAAAACAAACTACAGGGAAAACTTGTTAACGACGCGTCGTTTCAACTTTCACAAGGCAGACGAAACATTTTTGCAAGAAAAAGTTCCGTTTGATTAACTAACTTTAAAGGCATGTCATTATAAAAACATGCAAAAATTCACTATTGGGGAATGCCGAACGCATTTATACCCTACATTTATATACATGCGGAAGTTGAAGCTTACATGAATATGTTTATATATACAGTTATGCCTAGGTAGAAGATAAAAAACTTTTATATGTATGTATATATTGATATAGATTAGAAGTTTGATATATTGCTTCTCTTCAAGTTTTCTCTTCGCAAGTATTAAATTTTTATGTCTTTTAGAAAGAGAAATTGAGGCACAGATATGGTGTAATTATTTATTTTATTTTCTTATTTTTTAATATATATCCACACAGATATTTTAAGTGTGTTCAGGGTATGAGAAGCCTTGGCCATGAATTGAATAAATGAAAAATCTGCATATTTGCAAACCAGTATAAGTTTTACCCAAGTGTTTACATGAACTTGGTAGATAATGAAATGGGGAAAAAAAGCGTTCATATTTTTCACTTCGCATTCACATTTTATTGCAGCTCGGGCCGTCCGCTACGCTATCGCTCCGTGACCGAAGGGCGCAGCGCCTTGAGTCTGTGCGCCCCCTCAGCCCTGCCGCTGGCCATCTCGTTTCAGGGCGCACCACTAATGACGCCATCCACGACGAATGCGACGCCGCTGAGTGAGTTCCGGAGCAGTTATACAATCAACGAAGACGAGCGCTAAGCAGAGCGTTCACTCGCGTTCAGAGAGTCAAACACGAATTTATGGGCTATGTTGTTCAGAAAGTACAGGTAAACGAAGCAAACTACAAAAGGATGTTCGATGGGACGAATTGGCGATGAATCGAATAGTCAGACACACTTGAACATGTACTTTAAGCTGAAAAATACTAGTACAGGGTGACCCATTCCAAATCAAACAGAATACAAATCGAACTATAAAAGCCGCAATGAATTGATGGCCGAATACAACAATTTAATAACAAACAAGCTCCTTCAATAGCAAATCCTATGATGATAAACTATTTATTTTGCATCAGAGACAAGATGAAATCAAATGAAACATAAACAGGGAATTGAAAAAGGGAAAATGAAATTGCTGACGTATTCATAATGAAATAAATGTAGTCAGCTGTACCCATACAATATGAGATCCATTCATAACATATCGAAATTAAAAATTTGATAGTTATGATGTTTCATTTCAATTCAAGTATGGAAGCCAAAAAGCAAAATGATGACACATTCAAAGTCAAATCAAATTATGACTAATTATTTAGTGTGGCAGTTGTACCCACAAAAAAACAGAGATAACAAAACGAACTTATTATTGCGAAACCGTGAATAACAGGGTGTTTCATTCAACATAAAAAAAAAAGTACAAAACAAATCAAATGTAAACTACCAGACGAATTATTAAGATCATGAACTGAAAAGCGCTAAAACTATTCGAGATAATTGAAGATCGGAAAAATGCATTGAGTAAACCAAATCAAGAATACAAGTTCAATTTGTCAAAATGTACATATGCATATGTGTACACTAAATGTCAGATAAAATCCTAAAAGCGACAGCAGATGGAACCCATACCCATTATTCCAGTTTACTTTAAGCACACAATCAATTATAAACTACAGGGAGATTCATTCAAACACACAAAAATACTTGTCGGATAATTAGGAGTCTGTAGTTAGGTCTCTAGAAAACTTCAAGCTATAATTTTCAAAATAGAAAACTGCATCATTTATACCTACTGAACTCAGATGAACCCTTTCCTATAAAAACCCAAAACTATATCGCGCTAACACAGTTGGTAACGCATATTGAGTGTACCGATTGTACCAAAAATATAGTACAAGCAACATATGAAACTAAGAAGTCACTATAAATAACTGGATTCAAGTTTTACTCCAACGAAAATATATAAAATACGAGTTGAGTTGTTTAAAATATATGTGTCTAAATGTTTAAAAAGGAATGAAGACCTCAATATCAAAAAGAACTACAGCAAACAGAAACCGTAGAACATAATCCAAATTTATTACAAGCTTAAAAACAAATGCAAACACAAATAAGAAAATACCCTGATTTCTCATTTTCAATGGTTTCAGGGTATACGAAAATACAGGGAGATTCATTTGAAATAAAACCAAAAATAGTTGACGACTAATGATGAAAGTGGCAACTATACCCACAAATCACAGAGCTAAGCTAGGCCCACAAAGAATTCTATTCATAGCAAAGCAAACTTATTGTGCACCGCGAAATACAGGGTGTTTCATTTTGACTCAAATCAAGCATAATCAAAACCAGATAAAGACAGTATAAATAACCGGAAAAGTGTACAGCAGAAACTTCAAATATAAAACACGTGGTGAATTTTTACAAATCTGTGTATAAGTAGGATTGAGGACCCAAATCCAAGAGGAAAAGAGAACAGAACAGAAACGACAGCAGACGGTAACCATAGAGCCTATATAAGCTTTAATTTAAGCATGAAATCGAATACAAACTACAGGGAGATTCATTCAACTCTACCTAGAAATGGTGAGAACAAAATTATAAGGACGAGACGAAATCGATAGCCAGTTCGTCTGGCTCTGCTTCAAGCTGTACTTTCCAAACCAGACAACAGTTGGATCTATCAAGAGCAAACTGTACATAGAAAAGCAATTAATACTATTTGCTAAGCTCTATCATATCATCAGGCGACATAAGATCGGGCGAGACATTGCGCGTATTATCTAGATTAAACTGTACCTGTCATATTTCACTCTATCATATTGTAGGCATACGTGAACTGTACTTACTAAATGTACATATGTATGTATATAGCATATGCATATGTATATTTTGCAAGCTCTATAAAAACGATATAGTATTAGCGTATATAGGGCTCAATTGCAATGTTTTAAATGTTATTATCCGTAGTAGCGTTTGTTAGTCATTTGACCTATTTAAGTGCTAAAGCTAATTGTAATTTCGATAATCTTAAGCATGCTGCGGCGTTTGCCACAACTGTCAAGAATTTCACCCCACGGGGAACTATTCCAGCGCCTTGGCAAACACTTTGCTTTTATAATTTATGTTTATGCAATGATGAGCTCTTTGAACACTATTTCGTACATGTGAGATAACATGATAAAAAACTTAAATATATGTATGTGTGTATAAATGGTAAAGATGTTAATAATAAAAAAAATATATACCTATCTAAGAGACTCCTTGTTTCTAAATTCTCTAATGGAACTGTGTTTTTATTTAAATTAAGTGGAAAACCTTGTCAAATGAAGTTGGGGGCGGTTTTTGTTGTCTTTGGCGTCAAATGAAGATGCAATTGAGACGGGGAAAAGTGAGGATGACAGAATACCCTAAATTTAGTCTATTTAGTTCAATGCAGAATTTTTCAGAATTTTAGCTGACACACAAATAAAATATTTTGAGTGATTTGGATTTTGATAACTTCAGTGTGAAACTTTCAACAGCGACGCAAACCCTCGTTCACAGCATGAACTTTACTCTGCTAGCTTCAAAGTGAAATAAGCGCTGACTTGGCAGAGCCACATCATGTGTCACGCTCAAGGCACATCTAATCAAGATCTGCTATTGTTAGGTAGACTTAAGTGCTCTATGTCAGAGAGACACACGCGAGCCGCCCACATCTGACAGCTCTGTCTTTGTCGATTACTTTGCAGCTCGACAGCAAACAGTTTCCGCCTGCCGATGGCATTGCAGTCGTCTTTGATACTTTTGTTATTGTGCCTCGGCGCATCCTGCAGCAGGACGAACCAAAATGTCTGTGCCCTCGTGCATATACTGTGCGTGCGTGCCACGAAATTGCATTATTTCCATGAGCTTAATGCAATTCAAATGCTTTTATGATCGGAGAATCGAAAGTTTTTTTTTTGTGCTCAACACCATTAAATGGAAAAGCACTGTACCAAAAATTGGACACATTGATAGCTTCAGTGGTTGCGCGACGGACACACTAAGTAAACACCGCGAGGTGTTGCAGTAATGAACAAATTCTGTTGCATATCTCGTGGGGCGCTGAGCTGTTGACTAAGCGCTAAAGCGAGCAGACGCGACGCGACGCCAGCCGCAAAGTGCACGACAAAATGGCGTCAGTCGGCGAAAACAACACGAAGAAGAAGAAGAAGATGAAGACGAAGCAGAAGTATAAGAAGAAGAAGAGGGCTCTTCGAGACAATTATATTGTACGGGCAGCAGCAGTTTACAAAAAAGGCAGACGAAAGAGAGAACGAGGCAAAGTGAAAAGTAGACATGTGTGCATGTGTGTGGGTGAAGGAAATGTGTAGAAGCGTGAAATTGATTGCCCCGCTGGCATTCGCTCAGGCCCTCATCCTCCTCGCTCTCAGTTGCCATGCAGTTTGTTTGCCTTGGCCTTCCTTGGCTAATGGCGGCAGTGGGAATAACACTTTCAGCATTTGGCAACACCTTCCAATCGGCGAGCTTCTTGCGAAATTTAACAGCTCAGCATTTGCATTTCCAAACAATGCCGCATAAATATAAACACAATACGCAGAGCGCAAATCACAGAGGAAACAAGCGCTGATCGCTCAATTGTTAACACATGCACATTTTCATAAGAAAAACCTCATTACCTGCCGGATTTGGCTTATTTATTATGTGACACACTCGCACACAAACACACATCAATACACACACTCACACGCATTTGTGCAGGGAATTGCCTTTCAACACTTTGACGCTTCATTAGCTTTGTGTCGGGCGAGCAAAGCGTGAATAAAATACAAATGGCATTCGCATTGGCGTTTCGCTCACATTCGATTTGCCATTTGTTTCCCAATTGATTTTTTTAGGCATATAATATAATGCAGTATCTTAATATGGCAGATAAAATTACCTCAAATTAAAGTGAGCACATGAGTTTTACAATTTCACTAATATTATTAGTTAAATAAAAATAAAATTCATACTTAAAAAAAATAGTACATTTATATATTATAAATTATAGTTTTGTATACATTTCAAGCTAAAAACTCATTTTTAATTTTTAATTTAAAACAATTGATACACTCTGTAATGGAAATGTGATATTTTGTGCGCAGGCTTACTGCATAAATAAATAAAAATAAAATTATTACTTAAAAAATAAATAAAACATTCATATATTTTAATTATAATTATTCGCATTGAAACCTCTCATAATAAATTTTAAATGTAATGCATTTCTATTTCATTTCATAGTTGAACAAATTATTTATACTTCTATATTAAAGGCGTAGAAATTTACTTCTTATCAAAAACTGATAAGGGCTAGGAAAATCTTGTTGTTGCCCCACAACTACATAAGCGCTGATTGAGCTGGATTAGAGTGTGGGCGCTGTTTGCTTTTCTCATGAAAAGCCAACCCACGTTTAATGTGTTGAGATGTGATGTTATATATTCTGACGGGATGGGCTGGGAATGAGATGGAATGGGATGGAATGGGATGGTCAACAGCTGGCAATTGTTGTTGATTTTATTTGTTGTTGTCTTTTCTCGCACTGCGCGTGTTTGCTGACACCGCAAATGTGGCTGGCTCAACTGCAGTCATGCATGTAATTGATTAAAGCAGCTGTCGAAGCTGTTGACCTTCATTTTAGCAATTAGCCATGGGTGGCTCCATAAAGGAAATGTGATATTTTGTGCTCAGGTCTAACGCAATAAGTACAGCTTCAGGGAGATTAGGGCCACAGGCTCTTGATTACTGATCAAGCATTTCACGTGTAATCCGCAGAACACAAAATGGACTCGAAATTTGCCTAAAGCTTTGCCTTTTTCACCTGCTAACGGAGTGGCTGTCGCTTTTTAGGCCACAAGCCATTTTTGCTGTGCAGATTAGGCAAATTGGTT